TATATATATCACAAAAAATAAGAACAATTGTGTTTGGTAGATTATTTCTTTGTTGGAACAAAATGCTTCTTGGCAATACATTTTGTACCGTTGGAAAGACTGGTAAAATCTCTTTTAAATGGTGCCACATTTGTAAGGAACATGCATTTGTGGAATGAGCAGTAGAGCTGAGTATGTGAGTTGTGCACATGAAAAGTTTGCCAAATCTCCCCTGCCAAACAGCTTATTTTACCGTTGCTATTGACACTTGTTTCAAACTGGTACCCCCAGGTGAGGCCAATCATAAGATTTATTGCCAAGAAGCATTGTTACAAGAAAACATTTCCTATCAAACACAAATTTTGTGCAAAGCATTTTATAAATGTAATTTGTTACATAACTGCCTTAACAAGTAGGTTGTAAGGAGGAACATTATTTGAAGTAATTAGTTGTAGATGATTACTTATACCTGATCATCTTGATATCATGAGTGGTGCCATGATATGGCTTGATTTGAATTTCTTCCCCAAAATGCATATAAATCAACCTGAAATGAATACACCACGTAAATATGCCATATTTAGCAAAAAAAAAAAAAAAAAAAAAAAAAACTAATTTTCATCTGTAGCCCCCTAGCAGGTTGTTGGAAAGAATTCAAAAGAATTACAACATGCATAACAACATACATGATCCATGACAGATTTCAATGTACAATAAAAGTCATAATAGAAACTAAAAACAAGTCACTTCCAAAAGAGAGAAAAAAACGTCTTGCTACATAGAAAAACTCTTTAAAAAATTGATCTGAATCCTATTTATATATTATTTGTTCTGCTAAGGATTTATTGACGTTATTTAAAAGAGGAAACCTGACTGATAGATGTCCATGCTTTGCACTGTGGGTGAGGAGAAGGCAGCTTCTACCATCAACAATGCTATGGCTAACTCCTGAATCTCTACAGGGTGTGTCTCCACAGAGAGGCTTTTATACTGAACACTGTGCTGTGAGACATCACACAGTACCAGCAGCATCATACTCTTTGAACAAATAACACAATTCAAATGTAGTAGCCATAGTTGAACCCATAGAGAGCATCACAAAGATGTCTTTAGATGCATGATTGTAGATTTAAACAATTTTAGACCAAAATGTTGAATTTTAGTCATTACTTAAGGCACAGTTTAGACAGTTTATCTGTTTATCTGCAAAAAAACTTGATTTTGGGGTAAGTTCCTCTTTAAATCACATTGAACACTTCCCAATTAGAAAAAAAAAGCCTCAATAGATTGCAGGGAAAGCAGCATTTTCCATGATTTTCTGCTCAAAATCATAGTGTTAGCTCAAACGGCTCAGAAAACTGCTTTGACACAATAATTTAGGATATGTTTTAGAGGTTTCATTCAAAAGACTCATAGGTAAGATTATAATATCGTATTGTGACAAAATGCAAATATTACAAATGTTTCAATAATGCAGTATAGTTGCCTGTTTCTAAACCTACCACTTTGTGACTTCATCCTCCCTTCATAGTGATAGGATAGGTCACACATAAACACACACAGACATGGGCAAAACCATTATTACTTCACCTTTAGAGGCGGGAGAAATAGACTTTTCTATAGCCTCAACGTTGTGTTCATCAGTGGTGTTCCTTGTTGGAAACCGTAAGATTCAAGCACTGAGTTGTGACGAAGATGTTGTTTTTAACAGAAAACCTCACTGTCCCCCCACCTCAGCCCCCTCCTTGTTTCTTTCTTTCTTTTTCCTCTCTCTCCTGGCATGTGAGAGAAAGGAACAGCTGGATGTGAGCTGAGCCTGAACTCGATCCGTTCATATCCGCAGGTCCCAGAGGCCTCTTTCTGTCACCGCTGTGTCCGGCTGTGGGGGTAAACTCTTGGAGCTGTGCAGCTGTCCAAAAAACATGCCCTTAAAACTCCTCTCAGGTCCGAAACGCCCCCCACCCCCGAGCTGGACCCTTACCAATCCGCATGCTTCTCCAAGTGTGCCGCACTCAGATCTGCAGGTTCTGCTTCCCTTTAAACCTCCAGCACTGAGCTTCAACGATATCAGCAGATATTCAGCTGGTTCTGTCAGGAGTTCTGGGCCCAGGCCACAGTACACAGAACCCCGTGTGAGGACTGGCACATGCTGGTGTTTGCCTTCCTGTGAGCAGGTTTTGCATATGTAAATGTGTGTTGGGTGCAGATGAGTACAGCGAGGCCTTTGAGAGGCTTTTTAGGAGGGGAGATCGTGTGAAAATATAAAGATGTCACACTGCAGCTGGCACCGTGCAGGACTGATGGACTTCAGACTCACAGCATTCCTTTTGTGTGTGTGTGTGTGTGTGTGTGTGTGTGTGTGTGTGTGTGTGTGTGTGTG